TATATACACGTATTTGTGCTGTGGGAGATTAGTGTGCAGCTTGGACTACAGTGGAAATGTTTCTTGTACCTAATTGGTTGTGTTTGCAGACAAAACTCAATTTTATTTGTGGTCATAATTTTGTTTGTTGCACATATATCAGAGTTTATGGATGAAATACCTGCCTTGATATTGCTATATATAATTTCCAGTAATTTTTCTTTAAGACAGTATTTTTCTTGTAGGAATTTTGTTTTTATATCCAGACTACACAGAAAAAAGTCCATGCTATGCCATATTACTAATTATCTTACTACCCTATACAAGGGGGAATGATGGTTTGGAGAAGGGAAAAAAAAAACAAAACACACAACCAAGCCCAATAACAAAATATTGGGCTTGTTTTGTATTGCAATTTGAGATAATATAGCATGCTGTAGAATACTATTTCAAAATCATGAAATACAGGTATAGTACAGCTAGATGGAAGAGAATGACGAAAAAAAAAAATCCACCATGAAAGTATTGACAAATGCTACAGATTTGAGGTGCAAAATCTTGGATGTTTGCCAGAGGTAGAAAATGACAGCTTTCCAGTGTAGCCTTCCAGCAAGGCTACATCTTCAAATGAGGGGCTGTGAAATGACAGCTTGTCCTGTGCTATGGCAGTGAGATAAGGAATGTCAGATTGATCAGAAACTAACGGGGTAAGAAGGTTTGTCTTCTTCCTTGCTCCTTACCCCTTTCCAAAAAGAAGAAACTGATAGTTTGGAGTCTTCTCAGACTCATGAGTGAGTTGCAAGCAAGATGGGTAAAGGCAACAAGGATCAAAATATGTAATAGAGTTTCTTATGACGTTGCTATTCATTGTTAGATATCTAATGTGTTTATACGTGGATGCAGACATTTTTGCTGTATACATTTTTAATCATACACAAATTCTAGTTACTATTCTTAATGGCATTTGAAGTGCAAGAGATGAAATATGTTAAAGACTTCAAGTTTGAAGAACAAAGGTGTTCTGTGCAAGTCTTGCTGTAAATATTGTTCATACTGCATTACTACTACTGCAACACTATTGCTATTTCTGTTCCTTGAAGATGGATTAAAAACAAGTGGGGGATGTGCTAATTGCAATTTAAATGATGAAAAGTTGCAGTTCTGTCATGGCAATTGCTCAATGTTTTGTCTTGGTCCTCTGACATCATTGTCCTTGTCTTTTTCTTGTCTCTGCTTTCCCATTATGCCATTGGCAAGGAGTTGAGAAGTTAGTCCATTACTTCTGTGATAAAGCGTGGTACAGTACAACTTCAGATTTTTTCCCATCTCCTCCTCATGCATTTTCACTTTTTTTGCCCTGTGCATGATGCATGTCTATTGGAGATGTGCATGCAGTTCTGATTTCCCATTGCTTCGCTTCCTTCGTTCCTCAAAATACCACAGGGAGAAAATGTCTGTATTTCATTCTGCAGAGTTATTGTATGGGGAAGTGAGATATGTATTCAGATTAGAGATATAGAACAACCAAAGCAAAACTGAAGGGAATTTTACAGTAGGGATACTGCAATGACTATTACTGTTATGGCCAGACTGATACAACTATTTTCAGTATAACATATTTGTATCTTTATTGGCTTTTTTGTTGGAAAACTATCTCAGTGGTTCAGTACTGAGTATTAATGATAAACCTCTTTGCAGATGTGTTGTCATTTTTCTCTGGATGATGAGAGAAACAAAAGAATCTTAGCCTAATGCGATAGGAACTGTAATTTAGTCTTCTTGATGCATCAGTATATCCAAGTCTTTAAAGCTCTTGCCATTACAGAAAAGACTGTTCCCTTGTCTTTCAAAAAAGAAATGCGTGCACAAAGCATTTTGTTTAATGTGCTTTCATTTTGGGGAGAACTCATTTTCCTCAGTTGCATGGTGCAGAAATGTTTTAGAGTTCAACTTCAGATTTCAGGAGTATCACAAAGAAATGCAAAACAAGGTGTTTTGGTCTCCCTGAATAGTTTACTTCTAGTTTTGTCCAATAAACACTCTTAGAATAACAGCCTACACCAAGTCATGGTCTGTACCTCCCTGAAATATTATCTAAAGAGTATTTAGAGCAAGGTAAATGGCAAACTTCTTTAAGGCTTCCATGAAATAAAATATCCTTAGAAGGTAGAATGCTTCTTTCTATTCCCTCCTCCTTCTAATAGTGGATTTCACTAAGTGCTTATCCTTCTACTGGTGCTTTCATTAATACCTAGTCATAATTTAAGCCTCCCTGATAAAAAAAAGAAAATTTATGTATAAGGCAAAGATGTAAGCTGTAGATGAAGATAATGCAATCTTCAGTGTTGAATACGATGTAAACATTTACTTGCATATTTTGGAAGTGTTTCTGCTTTCACTGTAATCTTGAACGGTAATGTGTAGCAAACTGGATGGACTTACACTAAATAGACTCTCAGTGTTAGGAAACAGTACAGTATTTAAAGCAACTTACAGAAAGATGATACCATAGCAGTAGTGCCCTCATAATTCTGTGCATGTAGCTGTTTTCTACTTTTGAATTGCTAACTTCATGAAAATTATGCTGCTTAGACCCTTTTAGGTTATGAAAGATAACAAGGCAAGTACATAATTGACTATTTTTCTATGTAAAACATTAAACGTGAAATTGTCAAAATGGAAAAGCTGAAATATCTCTTATCGAAAATATCATTGAAATATCATTATAGAAGCCTTGTTTCTTTGGAGTATTACATTTTTCTGTGAACTTCCTGTAGAAGTTTAATTTTTTTCTATAACTTAAATTTTTCATTTTGCTGATTAGTATAACCAGCATTATTTGATATAAAGCTAGGATTTATAGAGTCAGATAAAATAATTATCTGTATCTTTTTTTTTTTTAAGACAAGTGTTTAGAAACCCTTTCTAGGTGAGGGGAAAAAGTTTTTTGACAATTATTTTTATGTATTTGGATTTGACACAATACTGCTTACTATAAATTCACTAAATTTTGCCTTCATTGAGATTAGAAAATCTGAGTTACTTAAGTATTTATACAGTAATCAGGTATGTATTGCTTTGGTTTCTGATCTCATTTTTAGCAGTTCTGTTATTGCAAGCATGATCTCAAAACAATGAATTATTATGGCTAACATTTGTCTTTCAACTCCTAAGATGGAAGTATAATGATTTCTGTAAACCATTACAGGAACACTGAAATTAGAAATATGTCAGGAGGATTTTTTTTTTTTTTAAGCTGTAACTCTTAAAATATAGAACTGCTTCTTGTGTTTTTTGCTTCCCTTCTGTAGGATTGTTTGCTTAAGAAGGATAGTTCTGCATTTGACAGCACTCACAAAAATAAGGTAGTTTTGGCTAAGTAAGGAAAAACACGTTACTTCTGGAGTAATGTTTTGATATTCATCTGACACATTAAAAAAAAATAAAAATATATCTTTTCCTTCTTTCCAAAACAATTTGTATTCAAACTGCTCAACATGTTTGCACTTCCTTGTCTATCGCTTGCTGATATCACTGGTCCAGCTTAGACATTGCCTTTCCTTACAGGTAGAACTGGTTATACTAAGTAGAAAACACTTCAGTAAATCTGAATTAGATCAAGAAACCTTGGTATATCTCTTATTACTATTAAACTTTCCTCTTGATGAACTTCTGAGGATTTGGTTTTCTGCAGTAATCCTGCTGGGTGAAAGATGAAAATCTAAAGAATATTGAGATACTCTCTCTTCCTAGAAACGACTTTGGCACGCACAATTATCACATTCTCTCTGCTAGTTCTAGTAGCTAAAAAGACTATAGTTGGCTTTCCCATTTACAAGTTGAGGATAATTCAAGAGGATGACTGAGGTGACATAATCCCTAAAGAAAAATGTTACTGCTTTTTCATAGACCGTATTTCACTCGTAAACAAATGTTATAAATCTGTCTGCTATGTCCATACTATCACTTAGTAAGAATTCAAGTAGTTTCAGAAAACTTTAGGGATAGGAATAGCTTGTTGTCGTTGAATGTCTTCCCTTTGTGAGGAAAATAAGAAAATAATTCAAACCTGAAACTTGCTAAAAATTATAGTTTAAAGTTTACTAGGTTTGGGGGTTTGCCGTGCATTACTGATTTTTTTAAATAATTCTTCCAAGATCTGTGTACAAGTTTAAGGTCCAAGATGTGTTTGTACACACATTTAGGTCTTTTTAGAGGGAAGATAAAATAAATAAATAAATAAATGTAGAAATGACCCAGAAAGAGGTATTGGCAATTCTTGTCTGATTCTAGAATGCCTCTTCTGGCAAAATGTAAAGGCTTCATCAAGTTATCTTTATCTCCTTGGTTATTAGAATGGCAGTATGTGATCTGTAGCTTCACATGTACTTTGTACTGTTTTGTTGAAGATGGTTTCTTTATCAGTCCATTTGAATTCATTTCAAGATAAAATGGTTGCTTAAATCTGTTCAGTGACCTAAATTACAGCATGTCTGTATCCAATTTTCCGACCTTGGTTAGGTGAATAAAATGCACCACAAATTCATGTGGTCCACTGAACTCCTTTCATGCCTGTATAGTGTGTAGCACTGATGAAAGTTTTGGGACAGCTAATTTGAGTGTGCAGTGAATAGAAATGAAAAGATGGATACAGACTGATAGCTGTTGCATTTCTTTAAGAACTTAAGTCAGAATTTGATCTGTATTTGTCATTCTTGGGATGTACTGCAGGCTAGGGCAAAGTCATCAACCAAGCCTTCTTCATGTTCTTACTTTAAGCTAATACATTTTTTCTGGTCTTTATGTTGCTGTGTATTTCAGTGATGGTTTAACTTTTCACCTAAGTTACAAATCATGGTTGTACATGTCCCATGAACCATCTTGTTTTATCAAGTCTAAGTTTTGATTTTAAAAAAGATATACAGCTGTTATCAAGCATCCAGTCAGCATACTTTGGGTTCAGAATGTTATCTGGAGTTTTCTGTGCCTAATGTGTTATTGCATTCTTCTCTCTTGAACAGCCTCAAGTACTACAGCCTTCCAGCAGCCTTCCCAGTTCCACAGACCTCGCCCAGGGAAAACTAGTAAAAATGCCACATATCGAGGCCCACAGTGAATATTCTAAATATGGTGTGCATGAAAATGGCAATCATGAGAATCAAAATGCTGCAAATGTGTCTCTTACAAATAGCCTGAATGATGTAAACACTTCAATGAACATACAATTAAACGTAAAAGATAAGAGTACATCGTATTTAGAAAATATGAAAAATAAAAACACTGAAGACCCTGGAGAGGTGGCTAGTAATAAGGAAGGGACGTTATCTCGTTCTTGTTTTCAGACCTCTGCAAGAGATGATGCTAGAGAAGTTCAGACTGAGTTAGCTGTAAAAGGTCAACCCTCATTCACATACCAGGCTTCTTGGCCAAAGACTTTAAAAATTACAAAGCCCCCAAATGCTTTAGTGCCTCCTACAGCGGCCGTACTCACACGATCTGCAAATCATTCCGCTGCTTCCAAGGAACCTGAGCTTCTACCATCAAGTAGTTCAACTCAGCTACAGCCAACATCTGGTCCAGATGATCTAAAGGGTAAACAGAGTCAGAAAGTGTCCAAACTTCGCCCACCAACTATGTCCTTTGTTAAATCTAAGCAAACGAGCAGCCAGAAATCCACACCGGTGTCTCAGGAGCCTCAAAACACCTGTTTGAAGACGAACATCCCAAAGCCACCAGTACAGAGAAAGGAAAATGTGCAAACACAGAATACCGTTGTGCATTCTGGGGACAGTTTGCTCTCTAATCGGTATTCCCGCCTCCCTAAACCAAAGACACATTGAGAACATACCTACATCTCATTGGTATCTCATGTTAAATTACTTCGTATATATCAACTGCCATTGAGGTTGCTTTATCTACAGCCTACAAATCCTAAGTGAATAGCAAAAAGAGCATCTTCCTTTCGTGTCTGCGTATGCCATTGTTATGTTCTGAAGATCATGTTATGAGCAGTACAGCAGTTCCTGAGTGTTAAATTATATTGTAATGCTGTATTAATGATTGTATTGCACAGTGATCTTAATCAAGTGCTGAAGTCCAGTGACTATGAATACCAGAGTGCTGCACTGTGTATCCAGGAAGGCAGAAATCATTTCTTACCTCTGTTAACTTGATTAATTAGCTAATGAAATTACTATTTGGTTTAACTTCTTGGTTCTGAGTACTCGTTACGCTGGAGTGGTAGAAAATTAGACTTATTAGTGGATGTTCTATTGGCCATAATTCTGACTCTGTATTCCAGAGGCCTATGCAAAAATCCTTGTATTTATCATTATCTCAAGACTGACATATTTAATGTTATTTAATCTGATGGGTTGGGTGGTTTGTGTTTTTTGTTTTGCTGTAATATGAAGTTGCTCTGTTCTTTATTTATCTCGTTTTCACTCTTTACAGACAGTAAGCAGATTTCACAGAGTGAAAAGGATCTCTCTTAAATATCATCATTTGTTAAGATACTGTGGTATGCTTTTATTGTGTTCAATAGACACATTAATGGCTAGATTCTTGCACGCAGTGCTAGGGATACTTGTGCAAAACCTTATACAGGCTCTTATGAATTGGTAAGTAAGGAGCCTCTGGGAATAAGGGGTCCATAACACCTATGTTGAGGTTGCACAACATGTGTTTTGATTAATATATATTAACTTTTATTGTACTAGTTCTATTTATTGATTTCTGTTTAATATTGAAAGACTCTGAAGTACCTGACTTGAACTGTTTGCACAAACTTTGCCATATGGTAAGGATTTGAAACTATTTTACATAATAAAACTTGTATTAAAAAAGCAACTATTTTTAAATAATGATAATGAATTAACCCCACTTACTTGCTTTGAGCAATCCTATTATGTTCTAATCCAGAGCTGGTACTCTTAAGAGTTTTTCAGAGATGTGTATTTTGTTTTGAGAGTTCCTTGTAATTTTTCTTTTTTTTTTTTTGTAATTCCTGAAGAAATGCATGGTAACTGGGAAGGAGCATTTTGGGGAAATAAAACAGCAACAACAAAACGTTCTGCTCTCTAGGACAATCTTTTTTTTTTTTCCTGAAAGTGGTCTGGAAATATGTGCCCATCATGGTGCAACTATGGGACTGTAACACATGAGCTGTGAATCGAATATATGCATATCCATTGAAGAGTTCTGAGAACTTAACATTATGCCCCATCTCCTATTCTTCACTTCTTTCCCATCACTGAATCTTAGATGTTACTGCTATTTTTCTACTCTTGAATTGAGTTTTAAAGTGAGCAGCTGAAGGCTGTTAAAATAATTTCACTCCAAATCTGTTCCTGTATAGCATAAAATGACAAAAAAAATATATAGTAATAGTTTGTTCTAGTCTTTGCCTACAGGACATTGACATATTACAGTATTTTCTTTGAAACAATAAAGCATAATGGGTATAGACATTTCATGAGTATTTTCCATAATCAATTTCTCTAATATAAGCCCTTTGACTAGGGATATCCTGATGGATACCTTAGTCAAATGGGTGAAGGATAAAATCATATGACTTGAATTTCTCACTACTTAATGTCCAAGAAAGGTTTAGGATTTGTCATGCTGTCAATTCTTTTAACTGACAATGAAGTAGAAAAATGAGAAGCTCAGGGGGAAAGGGTAGGGTAGGGTTTCTATTTCAGAACTGCTGATAAGAATCTGAACTAAGAGACCTGCGGGACTTTCTGTTAATTGGGGGGGGGGCTGGGGTGAAGAGAATATAACCAGGAAGTAACAAGAGGAACCTTAGCTGTTGTATTTATTTTGACTTAATATTAACTGTAAGTCAAGATTGCTGTTACAAATATTCTCCAGAAAATTTACCTTTTCTTGCAAAGCATTGAAATAGATGACCTTCAATGTAAACATCTGCTTTTGATAACAATTTTTTTTTTATATTCCCCAAAATTAGCTCCTGGCAGCTAACTGTGTTTTTCAAGAGTTTAAAAACTGCAGAGGGAATGATCAGATTCCTGATTTGTTTTCTGGTCCATATAGACTTCCACGGAAGGTTGTTTTCTTTCAAGTTTACTTTCCTTGAAGAGAATTTATTTTATTTTTGGTTGTATATGATTTTGTTTAAAAAGATTATTTTCACTTAATGCTGTTGACAGATACTTCATCATGAGTTCTGTTGCTTCTTTCTCTGAAACTGTCACCAGTCTGATTTAGTAGTGTTAAAATTTTTAGGTTTACAATTAAAAGTATAGATGTCCATCGATCTGCACCTTTACTGAAAAATAAGGAATGAAGCGAAGAGATGATCAGTGTTTTCATAAAACAGAGATGGTTTGTATTTTTTTCAGAAGAACAAAAATATTCTGTTTTCCCTGTTAAAGGAGCATAACTAGATTATATTATTTGATGTGAATATATTGTATTTCCCCGTTTTGTTCTGACAGATTAGTAAGATGGAGCTGGAGAAATCATGATTTGATCGTGGATAAGACGGATACTAGTCTGAATTGTTCGTATTCAGCTGCTGATCTTGCATATCGTTAAAGACAACTGCGTATTTTGGCTCTTCTGATTTATCCAGGGAAGGCTCTGTTGCATGTATAGTAAGTCCAGAGTACGAGCAAAGCCTGTCAGCAGATGGGCAACTGAGAAGAGTAGCAGTGAAGTTTGAAGCCTTGCTTCAGTGAAGGATGGGTTGGGAGGAAATGGGTAAGAGGGTGTTGTGTAGAGCTTGTCAAATGGGATTAAGGAAGTATTTTCAGGTAATTTATCTACTTCATGAAAATTGCAGATGTATTATCAGTATGCGTGCAGATTATCCTCAATGCATAAATCAAAGGATTTGATATCTTTCAATTTTTGTTTTTAGATTTCTAAAACTGGTTTATTGCAATTTTTGATGTCTTATTCTTTTGTGCAATATTCACAAAAGTATTAAACTACTGTTCAGTATGTGTGTACAGAGGCAATTACATGTTTTAACAAGTGAATAAACACAAGAGAAAAAAACAAAAACAAAAAACAAAAAACAGAATTGCACTTTAAATGAGCTTTATTGCTTGGAGTTGTGCCTAAAATAATCTAGATGCCTCCTGCTGCGTGGCTTTTGTTTGAAACTAATTTCCCTGCTAGTGTTGCTGTTTCCAAGATATCTTCACATCGCCTTCACATCATTGCTATGCACTCTAGCATGTTGAAAAATACTCATGTAGTGTAATGAATTTTTGTTGTGCAATGACTTTAATTTCACTGTGGAATTTCACTCTGATGCAGCCAGATGATTACTTTCCCTGAAGTCTGCGCTTCATGTTGCCAGTAAAGGCCAACAGCAAAACTTTCCTTGGAGTAGTGTAGCCCTTAAACAATAATGGTCTCAGCATATATTTTTGTTTGAAAAAGTGCAATACTGACTGTTAGACTTTCTGAAAATAATCACAAAAGCCCTGAAAATCCAAAGCTGCAATGATTTTTTCATATAGTTCTGGAAAAAAAACAACAAGTGGTCTCCTTAGTTTCTGCTATGAGATTAGAAGTTAGACATAGCAACCAGACTGCATCATAGGTCAGTAAAATTTATTTTGTCCTTGATCTAAAATTTCGTCCTTGATCTAAATGCTCATTTGCTGTAACAATGCTAGAAAACTGAATACCGTCTCTGATTTGGTTTGTTTGCATGTCACATTCTGAACTGTCATACTCGGGTAGCTTGCATGTCAGGGGGGAGGGGGGAGAAGTGTTTGTGTTTTTGCACAGCACATAATCCTCTTAATGTGGACATTTTCTTGCCATTCAAATGGAATTCTGTTCTTGAATTGGGCTTCCATAGCTATTCCTTATGTTGTTATAGTGGCTTTTTTCCTGAGCAGAGTGGATTTAATACGGTTCTGGTGGTAGGCCTCAGTATAGTCATCTTCCAACTATGCTATCGAGGAAATTCAGTCACTGTTGTGATAAAGCTGCTCACTGCCTATTTAACTGTAAAAGCACCACAATAAAACCAATATAATGCCAGTGTCAGTGAAATCTTAAATTCAGTACTAGCTATCAAGAGGTACCCTTACTTTATCTGCTTTGTTTTTTTTTTTTTTTTAAAAAAACCCAGACCAGAGTAAATACTGTATATTGGAATTTGCTTGTAAAGTTGATTTAAAACCTGTATGTAAAAATTCTTTCCTCAATGTTGCTCTAGTGAATAAAAATAAAAGTCATAATTCTAATCGGTAGCTATTTCTCCTGACTGTTCACTTTATGTATTTTTTTTTTTTTAACTCCATCATTGACTGCAGAATTATAACACTGTAGAGAGGGGTTGAGGGAGGGGAGGGGGGAGGAGAGATTGTTCTTAAGCTTACAGTTTTATGTTTTCTCATAGAATTGTTTTTTTTTTTTTTTTTTTTTGTTTTTCCAGCAGAGTTGCAGGCTTTTTTTTTCCTTCTGACTTTAAGTATGAGAACATTCAAAAACAAAAAGACTTAGAAAAGCTAAAGGTCTTAATCTATTGTTTCCAGATGAACAAGAACTGATGTGGTTAGTTTTTACAGGTACGTTATTTCAATTTTAATGTACAGTTGAGGAAAGCAGATAGTTATTTCATAGTTTTCTTGTGTTGACTAGTTAAAATTATTATCACAGATTAATTTGAGCAAGTTGCTTGATGTAGGAGTCAAAATCAACACAGTGCATACATACATACAAACATCGGGTTCCTGGTTGTATATCAGTATTTTGCCCACAGTCTGAATGGTTTATTATCCTTGCAAGAAAAGGACTTTTGTTTCACTAATTCAATCTGAGATGTTTCAGTAGATGGAAATCAAAGTTTGAAATTTCAGTCAAAATTTGGGGATTGGTAAAGGGAGAATCATTAAGTTAGAAGAAAACTTTTAAAAAGTGCTGCAGACAGATGCTTGTAATCCTTAATCTAAGGTTTCATTTTGAGCTTCTAGATCTTTGAAGACTTCTTGAGGTTTTGGGGGTGGGGGGAACTCCTGGACAGAGCTTCCAAGTTCAAACGTGTTTTATGTACCTTCCTCATCAGAGAGCTAAAAAAGCCAGCTACATCTTTGCGGATCCTCCTGCTTTGCATTTCTGCTGGATAAGTACACTCTTCACTGATGACAAGACTATTATAGTGGTGTCCAATCCTATCAGTGATCATCAGATGTTGAACAGCTGATGCAATGACTATGTAAGTAATATTCCTAAAAAGCAGTGATTCACAGGTCCCTCCCATTTTTTCTTCCCTGCCCTCACCTATCCAGAGACAAAGGCCTTGCAGCAGTGCTGTTCTGAGACTGAGAGCAATGTTCTGCTCACACTGGGATGCATCTTTACTGTCATTGAGCATAATACTATATGTGAGAAGAGAGTATTTGGTGATGAGAAATTTCCAAAGGCCCCTTCCTTTTGCAACCCAGAGTCAACGTTCTTGGCACCATTCCTGGTGCAGGAATGGTTTATTTTCATGAACACACTTGAATACAGCTGAACCATGAGACAAATTAATACCGAAGCATGTGTAATATCAGATTCATACGGTTGCTGTTTTCCTAGGTTATGAATATCAGCTGCTCTTTCAAATGAGAATTGACGTTTTGCAGAGGACATTGAACATAAATATCAGAGCTCTGAAAATATGAAGCTAAAGGCAGAAGTAATTGCCTTATATAACAGACCAGAAACTGGTTTAGGAACGATTTTGAAGTTGTTTATTCCAAACCAGAGAAAAATCTGAAAACTTAAAAGCTGTTTAAGTAAAATCCTTCCCTCTATCCCTGCCTCTAGAAATCATTTCAAGTTATTGAAAGCATTTTAAATTCATGACAGATACTGTTTTGTTGTTACTCTTAAAGCTTTCTGCAACACAAACCTCAGAAATACCCTGAACTTTCAGGCATTTAAGCAGCTGTGGAGCTAGGACACTGATAGTTATTTTTTTTTTTTTTTTTTTTTTTTTTTTTTTCTGTAGAAATGTAGCAATTTCAGAGAAACTTCTAGACTTTCAGCACATTTCTGGTAGAATATGCTTCTCTTAATACCTCTCCAATCAAAAGTATTGTTCAAATTTTACTCCGAAGAGACCTGATTCATTAGTTTAGATGTTACAGTTAGAAAGAGAGGGATCCTTGAAAATCAGCCTGTGTAAATTTGTCATTTCATTCTGATTGTCAGTATAAAATACACTGTGCACAAACAGTGGTGAATTTTTTAGGTGGTGGTAAATAATTCAGATATATTAGGGTGGTAAATAATTTAGATATATCAAAACAGTATGCATATAATACCTATGAGCATTTGAAAACTTGGGTAAATTAATCTGATAGATTTCAATGCTTAATAGTATTAAAGTCCACCAATTCCTACAGTTCTTTACTCCATTTTAATTGCTCCTTGGTTTGACAAGCTATACTAGTTATCATATGCTATCTGTAATCACAGTACCTTACTTTTTGTATGTAAAAAATGAGAATAATACCAGTATTGGTGAAGTTGAGAACTACATGATTCATTCACGACAAAATGCTGACAACATGACAAGGGAGGAAACAAACCCTCCTGTACTTTCTTGAACATTATTTCTTGAACACATTTCTTGAACATACATCTCCCTGTATTTACCTGCTAGGTAAATGATTATGTCTTCAGAAGCCTGAGCTGTAGAAAAAGGTTTTATTTTTCCTTTTTAAAAAGGAGGAAAAAAAAAATAATTAATTGTAGGGCAAATACCATAGACCTCACTGGAGCTATGCAATTAATACCAGATCCAGCAAGTTTCAATCTTACTAGCTTCCAGAGCAGTTATTTGCAGGAACCATGAAGTGTAAATGAGAGAGAATAGTTTCTATATGCAAATTCTGTGCACCACACGTCCTGGGCATATATATCCCACTAGACTAACAGTATCATGGGGCAGCAGGAACCTGCGTCCCTGGCTTCATGGAGACTTCATGAATGATTCATGAGGTATACATTATGCTTACCCCAAGAGTTGCAAGTTTGTGTGTGAGTGTGTGTTTTTTTTTTTTTTTTTTTTTTTTTTTTTCATTCATTTTTGGCAAAGCAGTTTGTGTTGTTCACGCTCCTTCCTACAGGTAAGTCAAAATTCAGTCCTGGTTTATAATCCTTCTAGAGTTCTGCTCTGTAACTTCTCTGGGTCACTACAGAGGTACTTTTTTTGTACTACAGCAGTAACCTGGAAGTCCCTAGTCACAGGTGAGAGAGCCCTTTCTGTGAGATGTAGCAAGCGGTAGTAGCAAAGCAGTTACTGCTACAAGATGCACAGCAGAAGGTTGTCAAGCTGAGTTGATCCTGCCAGGATCTGAACTTATGTTTGTAGAAAGTCTGATGTTCAAACCATATGCTTATAAGCTGTTGTAGATTTGGTATTACTGTGCAAGGAAGCTTAATGATACACAAACTCTTTGCTAATAATACTCTTGTGCATTTTATGCTGGCATTCAACTTCTTACTTCAGAAGAGTTAGTAAAGATCTGTGTATGCAGTTTAACTGCTGTTGAAAGCTTTGTGTGTGGTGTTTCTGGGACGTGCAGGGTAGTGAAAACAGTACTGTATATTTGTATTTATGTGCAAAATATTTTCTTAAGAATATACTTCAGTAGCGCTTTTTAAAGTTACTTCAAGAATGTTAATTTTCTCCAAAGGTAAGGGCTTACCTTTGACAGTTCTTCTGCCATGTAACGTCTGATTTTATACCTTTCTTTTAAAGGAGGAAAAAGGAGGCTATTTTCACATTGCAGTACTGTCTGTTGCACTGCTGACGGACAGAACACTGCATTGTGTGTAATGTATGTTCTCCAGTCTTACCTGGAATGCAACTAGTTGAAGTACAAACTAATCAAGAAACTAAGCTGAGAGGCATGTGAGAAGTATTGTAGTGGTCACAGGAGAAATGCTGTGCAGGGGCTCTTCAACAGTTACCACAAGCAATAGCAAATGTTGCTACACAGAGCTAACTGCTTTAAACTAAGTCCCAGACGCACAGACCTCAGCAAACACATCCTAGGGTCTTCAGGGTAAACAAAAAGTCCTAATTGTATGCACTTTCTTGGTGAAGCTCTTGGAGTTCTACTGATGAAGAAAAAGGACAAGAACTAAATATTTTTTAAAATTGTAAATGCATAGAGAACAGGTGGATGACAACAAGGAAAATGAAATGCTTGCTGGGAAATCTTATGGGAAAATACTTCCATTTGCCTCCTTTTCTGATCAGATTAAAGAAGAACTTGTATTTTCATCTGCCACGATCGCCAAAACTTCAGTTCTTGCCCTTCCTCCACCGTATTTTAATGCAGCTAGCAGGCTGCCTTTTGCTCCTGCAAACAGCAGAGGGCACTGCAATGCAAGCAGCTGAAAGAGTGCACATTTATAAATATGCTACTTCAGAGTATGTCAAAGCACCTTCCCAGGCATAGGTGGGGCTATGCCTTTGACTAGCATATAGATAGTCTGTCCTCGCACTCCGTCCTGTTTGCTTTGATGGACAAGCCCCAAACTAAGCAATACTGATTCATTTTATTCCAGTGAGGAGAAGCAACATTGCTCAGTTGAATGAAGTAATCATCTGTTTGGAGGTGGAGGGATTACAGCAGACATCGATAACCTTAACGGAGGCATTTGCGTCATTTGAACTGGAATAACAGAGTTGGTTGTCCCTGCTTGGTCTCTGTGACAGGCTGGCCTTGTTTCAGCCAGCTCTATTTATCATTCAGCTCACTGTCTGCTTAGGCTGGAAATTCACAAGGGATATGGGAGATAAAGACTGAACGTGCTAATGTGTTTGCAACTCCAAGCCTTTGCAGAGCTCTTTCAGTGCACAGACTCCTCTGAAGAGAAAATTGTGCCTGGGAAGAGTTGTCTTCTTTAGTATACTTCAAGAATTTGCTTTGCTGGTGATGACTTTTGGAAAATTACTTAGGGAAAATGTTTGTTGTTGTTGTTGTTGTTTTTTTCTCCTGTCTAATTGCATATAAATGTTAATTACTGAATATAATGTAGATTAAATAATCAGGAATGACTATTGCTATTGGGTCCTTGGTTTTCAATGCTCTTTAAATGAGTCTGCTTTCTTGAGCAAAAATTTGTTAAATCTTTTTAAAAATAAAACCAACCAAACAAAAAACAAAACACAACAACAACACACTCCTAAAATTTCTTACTTCTTACACAGTGGGTAGGATTTCCTCACTGGACCTTCAGCAACGGA